AAGGCATACTAGTCATGGTCATCATCACATCTCCTCAACATCGTCAACAAACATCAACAAATCTTAAAATTCACCATAATCCATACTCGCAAAACACACAAACTGACTCAAGATAGGACACTAAAATAAAACAAAAAAAATGAAAGCAGCCTAAAAGACCTAGACCTGGTCAACCATATACGCACATAATCATGTAAAAACTCCCCCACACTTAAAACCGAACAATGTCCCCATTGTCGATCATCAGTGCAAGGAAAGTTTACCCATATAATCAACCAACACGCAAAGACAGAAAAAACTAAACCAAATACGAAAAATAAAGAGAAGGGAGATACAAACGTACAGGGCACAGTAACTAGACTAGTCACTGTGAATCCAGTGGTGCAGGTGGAGGGTGGAGGTAGTCAGGCCTCGAACAGCAGTGGGCCTCTGTCAACTCAAATCTCTCGCCCCATTCGGATCGGGGCAGCTCTTTCGAACTCAGCTGGGGAGGGGCAGTGGCTCGGTCAGAACGGTACTTCCTCTGGACATAGACACGGTCCTGCAATGATCTCTTCGCGTGTTCTCGCATACACGCGCCCTCAGTAAGCTGTTCAATCGCCCTGAGGTAAGCACAGTCTTCCACAACATTTACCTGCGGCTCAGGCTGGGTCTCTCGAACGGAGATGGTGATGGACTCGCTCAACACTGTCATGCTCGCCGTCCCCTTTCTCACATCAATAACAGTACTAGTGGTCGCCATGAAGGGTCGTCCAAGGAGAATGGAGTGTTGTTTCCCTTTTTCTTCCACGTTCCCCACATCGAGCACTACGAAATCCACGGGGACTATCAACTTTCCTACTCGTACGAGCACATCCTCCACAATCCCTTCTGGTCGACGGTATGAGCGATCAGCTAGCTGTAGGCGCATGCCGGTGGGCTTCAAGTTTCCTAGCCCGAGTCGGTGGTAAACTGCAAGTGGCATGAGGTTGATGCCTGCTCCAAGATCAAGCAATCCCGATGTCTCTTCCCCATTCCCGAAGGCCATATTCATCACAAAGCCTCCAGGATCTTTTTCTTTCTTCGGCAAGTCATGCTGGAAGACACTCGCCGCCTCACAGATAATCACCTCCTCACCATTCTCAAACCTCTTCTTGTTCGTGGCCACTTCCTTGAAGAATCGTGCATAAGCCGAAACTTTCTTCAACACATCGGGAGGAGATAAGTTGACATTGGCCTTGGCCAACATCACATGAAGGTCCCGAATCATCGTGCGGTCCTTCTCCTCCAAGAGTCGGCTCAGGAAAGGAATCTTCGGCCTGTAGGGTTTTGGAGATCTATGCAAAGTAGGCTCGGGTGATGGTGTCACTGGGGCTTCTTTCTCCTTAAAAATTGTCTTCTCCTCCTTCTCAGTCATAAACACTGTAACTGAATTCGCATGCTCAGGCTGACTCGGCAACTTCCCCTTGCTCAAGTCAGTCTCGATGGTCCCGAACCGTGTGGCAAACTGTCCCACTTGCGTCTCGAGGCGCTTGATGGAAGCCTCAATGTTCATGGTTCGTTGCTGGTTGTCGGCCAAAAACTGGAGGATCTTATCTAGCTTCTCATCTGAACTTGGCGGACTCTATTCGGCTCCCTGGGCTGGTGCTGGCAGTCTTAACATTCCCCTGGGTTGCTGCTGTTGGGGGAAAGAATTGGTTTGAGGAGGCTGTTGATATTGTTGGCCCATGAGAAGTGAGGATGGTTTCGCCACCCCGGGTTATATGTGTTCGAGTAAGGGTCGTTTCCGGGCCGGTTCTGATACCCCTACAATGCGTTAACCTCAGCATTCTGCCCTCCATAATTCGGCTCGATAGCCGACGGGCGAACCTCAGAGCTGTGCCCCTGGCCTCCACACGCGCCACAAACGTTTACTGCCATTGTCTGAACTGGTGAAGCTCCTCTCGCATTTAATAGCCACATCTGCTCCGTGAGCTCGGCTAACTGCTGCGCCATGACATTGTTCCCGGGTCCAATCTCATTCACTGAGGACCTCTTCCCTCGGACGCTCTTCTGAGACGAGTTAGCACTCATCGTCTCATATATCCCCATCATCTCCTCTGCCGTTTTTGCCCCAATGTCCCCTCCGGCTGCATTGTCCACCATGTACTGCAAGTTCTGGTGGAGGGAGTCATAGATGCAATTCGCCAATAGCCCTGGTGAGAGGTTATGATGTGGGCACTGCCGTTGGAGGTCCTTGAATCGTTCCCAGGCCTCATGAAGAGGCTCATTTGGCAGCTGAGCAAAAGAGACAACTTGAGACCGGATATCTTGGGCCTTCTGATGGGAATAGTACTTCCCGACGAATTTGGTATAAACTTCTGCCCAAGTTGTGAGAGAATCCGGTGTGAGGGTCATGAGCTCGGTCCTTCAGAGTTTCTGGGAAACACCGCATTTTGAGTTGGTCCTCGTTTAGGCCGTGTAGAGGGAATGTCTGGAGGACATTGTAAAACTCCCGAAGAAAATAGAGCGGGTCTTCGTTGGGGAACCCGTGGAATGATGGGAGCTGATTGTAGTGGACTATCTTCAGCTCATAGTTTCGGGCTTCTTGTGGAAATCGGATGCATGAAGTGATTGGCCAGATTATGGGTTGGGCCAATTCTCGGAGGATGTTGCTAGGTGGTTGTTGTTCAGCCATGTCTGAGTTACTCCCCTCAGATGATTCTGGTGGATGCTCGCCTTCTTCGTGGGATTTGAGAGTAAGCTCGTCTAGAAGTTCTCTCAGGCTCTCGTTGAAGGGTTTGTTGATTGGAGAGAGTTTACGTCCACTCCTGGTACGCATACACTCAAATAAACAATGGGTTACGAGCACCAATGATAAAGAAAAGAAAATAAAAAAAGAAAAAGAAACACCGAAAACAAGAAAAACACAAAACCAAAAAGAAACACGAAAAATAAGATGAATAAGCACATAAAATAAGTCCTAAACCTTCCCCGGCAACGGCGCCATTTTTTGTTGTAGTTACTTTTACCGGAGTAGAATTGAAAGATTCGAACACCGGGTCGTGTCTCAAGGAAGGTCAGCCGGATTATTTGTATGACTACTCAATCACACGAAAAGATAAAACAAGTCCTAAACACTCTAATTCAATTGGTTGGATTTGATTATCAACTACTAGATTAACCACGAAAAATTCTCAAACAAGGCAATTCCGAACTCACAGCACAAGCACAATTCAAATAATGATGTAAGGGACTAGAGACCACGCAATTCTCAAACAAGGCAATTCCGGTTCTCAATACATTAAGTAACAATCAATCACTCGGCTAAAGACCACGAAATACTCACTCATTCAAAGATTCATTCTCAATAACTCACGTAACAAGAGAATAAACGTAAATGAACAATAATCGAATCAAATAGCACATAGACAATACGTCTCCGAACAAGTCTATTCTAAACGAGCCTAGATCAATCAATTCCTCCCCTTTCGGTTCTAAGAATCGATTTAGTGGATTAAAATGGTGATCAATCAATTTAATCCTAGGTTTAACACAACTCGAATAGATTGAGCAATTCAATAATCACACAAACGAAATTGAACTGGAACAATTATCCCCTAATCCTAGTTAATGAATTTAGCTACTCATCATCAATTCAACATCAACATCAATATCAATCAAAGCCATCATCATCTCAGATAAAATGAAATAGAAAGCTTACGATTAATATGAATCCAATGTCGAAAAACAACGAACAATCCAAATCCCCAAGTCGAATCTTGGTGTTTTCACAATCCAAGATCGAATCCGAATCAAAACTAAGAGAAAAATGAGTTCTGGAGTGAAAAAGTACAAGAGAATATCAAAAGCTAGAAGGAAGATAATGAAAATTTGATCTAAAAATCGAACTTAAATTTCTGCACGTCGCGACCTCCCCGGCCTCGACCACTCCTCCGCGGCCGCGGTGAAGGAACACCCGCGGCCACGACCATCCCCGAGGCCGCGACATCCATAGGCCAGAAAAAGGGCTTTTGGGACCCTCGCGGCCGCGCCCTATCCTCCGCGGCCGCGGTGAAGGATTTCCTGCACAGCCAAAAAAACGTTCACGGGTTCGTTTGAGCTCGTTTCAACTCGAAATTCGATTCCGCTTTTTTCCTGTGTGTTCCCAAGAACTCCTCTATTTGATTAGGCTTGCCCAGCTAGTATTTTTCCGAACTCCTGTTCTCTAGAGACCTCCGACCTACACACCATAAGCAAACAAAAACCGAAAAAATACACGGAAAATACACGAAAGACTAAAATAGAGCGAACCACGAAATAAACTACAAAACGAACTAAAAACCAACTAAAAGACCTAATATGGGGGAAAAAGAAAGACAAAAAGACAACGAGAAACGCAGCAAAAATGGGACAAACAGACACTCCTATTTCTGAAGAAGGAGAAAGTGCTGGCATCAAAAGAGGTTATTAAAGAAAACTCTTTGAAAAAAACCAAAACATTAGGTAACATAATTATTTCTGAGATGGAGGAGACCAGTCCGAAATGGTCTCATAGTTTCCAATGAAAGTATGTGTGTGGAATTGTAGAGGTCTGGGAGGACACTCTACAATTTCCCAATTCAAAGAGGTTTTGAGAAACCATCTCCCAAATTTTTTCCTTCTATCTGAAGTTGAAAAAAAAAAAAAAAAAAGGAAAACTTTGTCACTTCTGTTTGTTAAAAACTTAGGCTAGATAATAGATGGCTTTATATTAGCCCCATAGGTACTAAAGGTGGTATGATTTTGTGATGCTCTAAAGATGTATCTCTACTTGAAGTTGTCAATTTTGATTTTGCTTGAAAGTCAAATTTTCTTTAAAAAATAATGTTGAAACTCAATGGGCCACTTTTGTGTATGCCAGTACTGTTCCTGAGATCAAAAATTTGACATAGTTTAAAATGGGACAGGTTGTGGTTCGGGGTGAGGAACAGCTAGATAGATAATTCTTCTCTCTTGATTGGTTGCTAAATTGGCCAAATTGTGTTGTTAAGCATATTACCATGACATCTTTAGATCATAATATGCTGGTTTTGTATAGTGATCATACTCTGGATGTCAGAAAGCTTACATTTTCTTTTGATTCAAGATGGACTAACAAAGAGGGCTACTCAGTTATTGTTGAAAGAGCGTGGAAATTACTAGTGAGTGGTCTCTTGTTATTTAGCATTCATGAGAGGATTAAGAATGTCACGCTTGGTCTGATTAGGTGGAATTCTTCTCTCAAGAACAACTCAGCCAAGGTGTTAGCAGAGTCTAAAATATAAAAATATATATATATATATATATATATATATATATATATATAAACTGAGTGATATAGAACAGCAAGGTGGAAATAGAGATTGGGATGAGCGGCATAGATGTAAAGTGATTCAAAATCAAGCTTATATTAATGAGGAAATCTTCTGGAGCCAAAAAGCTAGAGTGAATTGGTTGAAAAGTGGTGACAAAAACATTAATTACTTCCAAGCTAGTGTTAAGCAAAGAAGATGTTCTAATAGCTTAGATAATTTAGTGAAACAGGATGGGGCTAGATGCAGTAACAACCAGGAGATCCTCAAAGAAATCACTGACTACTTTCAAAATCTATTTCAAACCTCTAATCCAGATGTGAACAGTTGCATCCTTGAAGGCATTCTAGGAAACATCACCCCTGAAATGAATCAGATCCTAGTAAGGGTAGTTGATGAGAAAGAAATCAAAGCTGCAGTTATTGGAATAGAGAAGCAGAAAGCTCCAGGTAGTGATGGCATGACAGCCTCCTTTTTCCAATCATTTTGGTTCACTATTAAGGATCATCTTTGCCTTGGTATTTGCAATTTTTTTGATAGGGGTAGTCTTCCTAAAGGCATTAGTCATACAGTCATCTCTCTTATCCCCAAAATTCAAAATCCTTCTAAGGTTTTTGACTATAGGCCTATTAGTTTTTGTACAGTTATATACAAGATTATAGCTAAGATTATGGCTAATAGGCTTAAGTCTGTTTTGCATGTTTGTGTCTCAGCCCCCCAATCAGCTTTTGTTCCTCGGAGGCAGATTTTAAATAATGTCATTTTAGCTACTGAATGTGTCAATTACCTTAACAGAAAAAGGAAAGGGAAAGATAACTATATGGATGTGAAACTGGACATGTCCAAGGCCTTTGATATAGTAAAATGGGTATTTCTGATTTCTATTTGCAAGAAAATGGGGTTCAGTGAACTCTTTATTCACTGGATTTAGCTTTGTATTAGTTCTAATTCCTTTTCCTTTAATATTGATGGTCAAGTTTTGGGTTTTGTCAAGGCCATTAGAGGTATTAGACAAGGGTGTCTTCTCTCCCCTTACCTGTTTATTATTCTTCCTGAAGGGTTTTCCAATCTTATTAAACAAGCCATACATTACCAAACTTTTAGGAGCATTAAAATTAGTAGAAACTCTTCTTATGTCACTCATCTCTTTTTTGCCGATGACTCCATTTTATTCTGCAAAGCTGATGTAAATCATGCTCACACTCTTCTGAATATCCATTCTAAATATGGTGCTTCCTCTGGTCAACTTGTTAACCTTAATAATTCTACTGTTATTTTTTCCAACAATACTCAGTTGTGCTCCAAAGTAGACATTTGCAAGGTTTTGAATGGTATTTCTAGTGTGAATTCCTCTAACTACTTGGGACTACCTTTAGGTATAGGTAGGTCAAAAAAAGATACTTTTAACATACCTTATTCTATCTGGCAGAGCATTTGCAGAGATGTGACTGAATTTTGGTGGGGAAAACATGAGGATGGGAGATATACATTACATTGGGCTGAGTGGAATAGGCTAGCCAAACCTAAAGACTTTGGTGGGTTGGGATTCAGAAATTTCAGGCTCTTTAATGAAGCTTTGCTTGTTAAGAAGTAGTGGAGGATTCTCAATAATCCCAACCTCTTAGTAAGCAGAGTTTTGAGAGGGAAATACTTTCATAAAGTCAGTTTGTTTGAGGTGTAAAAAAAGAGTAGGGACTCCTGACTATGGAAGAGTTTGATGAGGGCAAGGTAGGGTCTTAAAAGGGTTTTAGGTTCCAAGTAGGTGATGGTAAAACCATATTGATTTGGGATGATCCTTGGATCCCAAATTGCCCTAAATTTAAACCTACTTGTCAGTTCCTTGATGATAGGGCTAGAGTCGAGAGGGTTTATGATATGTTGCTTCCAAGAGGTAGAGAGTGGGATAGGGACTTAATTTATCAGAATTTTAATCCCTTTGATGCAGATGAAATCCTGAAGATCCCCATAAGTCATTGGAGCCAAAAAGACAGGAAGATATGGCACTTAAACAGGAAGGGCAATTTCACAGTGAAATCACTCTACGAGAGGCTCATCCATGATTATGCTGTTTAAACTCAAAAGGCTAGCACAAGTACAAGAGGCACCATGGAACAAAAGATGTGGACCAGAACCTGGAGTTTACCAATCAAAGGTAAATAAAAAAAACTTCCTGTGGAGAATGTGGAATGAGTTCTTAAGCACAAATCAAAGGCTGCAAGAAAAAGGTATGCAGATGGCGGAGATATGCAAGGTGTGTGGGGATGAAATAGAAAACACTGAACACTTGTTCTTTTTCTGCAAAAAAGCAATAACCTACTGGAAGTTGCTAGGAGTCAATTGGACTAGCTTTGATACAGATTCTCATTGTTTCAAGAACTGGTGGGCTGAGATAACTAATTGTCTAAACATCAAAACCATCAAAGATAGAATAAGTCTTTCGACTTATCTACTTTGGTGGCTTTGGAAAACAAGAAACATGTGGGTTTTTTAGGGATTTGGGTGACTGAATTTTAGATTGTTGATAAGGGAAAACTAGAACGGTTAGAATTCATGGAAATCAATCAGGTTGATGGAAAGGTGGCAGTCTTGCATGATAAACAACAAGTTCTTAATGGGGATTTTTTCCAGAAGGTAGAACAGGTATTTTTATCTGTCAATTCCTTGCCCTCATTGAACAACACCTTGATGCTTCAAGGAGCTGCTGGGAGAGAGGATAAAGTGCTGAAAGTTTGGGAGAATACCATGGGCAGCTGTCATGATCCCAGGGAAACAGAGCTGAAAATCATAAGATGGGTATTGGAACAAGCTGTGCAGAAGGGTTGGGAAGATATGGTGTGTTGTGGCAAACAGAGAAGTATAGCTCTAGCACTCAACAACCTATATCAAAAAGAATTGATGTGGAATATTATAGTTGGTGACATTGTTTTCCTATCTTCCTTATTTTCCTCTTGCTCTTTTGTGTATAAAGTAGGTGTTGGATAACATTTAGATGTTTCTTAGTCTTTTGAGGGGTTGTTCTTTCAATTCATGTTTATCCTTTGTTACTGATCTCAGTTGCTCAGGAGACATTTTTAGCCTGTTGGCTAAGCCTTGTAACCTACTGCTTGAGTTCAATATATTTGCCTTATCGTTGGAAAAAAGAAAACTCTCAACAATTAAAACAATGGACAAAATGACCTTCTCAACATCACGTCACCATCACAATGGTTTACCAATTTTTTTAAGTAATTTTTTTACCATTTCATGTACCTTCTCATTTTCTCCCCTCTTTTCTCCCGCAAATTTTTTTTCTCTATTGTTCAGGTCTTGCACGACGGAAGTGATTAAACTCCGGTGAAATCCCAACAGAGAAACTCGCGTGACCATGTCCGNCCCCCCCCCCCCCACACACACACACACACGTTTTTCCGATGAATGAAGATAGTCCTTTTCTGTGACAAATTGTAACAAACTCTCATTTATTCTCTTCAACAGTACAAATTCTGCCGTTATATGAGGAAACGATTATCAAAGGGTTTAGTTTTTCTTAATCGATGAGTTCTTGTCGTATCCACCCAAAAAAAAGTGTCAATTATTTGGTTCGATGAAGAACACCAATCAATGTACATGCTTGATAACTATAAATATAATCCTAAGCGTACTGTATATAGATTTTAGGATTGGATACTCACGCTTTAAAATTTTTCAACTCATAGAAGTCTTTAAAATTTTTCAACTCATAGAAGTCGTACACGGTCCACAAGACTATACGAACACGTTGTACGACCTTGAGATTTTCTATTATATTTCGGACACCTCTCTGATCGTCTTGGTGTGTGACGGCTTTCGGAGTTTCTCTTTCATAAATAACACATGATCAGCTTTTGGGAAAGAAAAAAAAATCTTGTGAAATACCATCTCTCTCTCTCCAATACTCAAGCGTACGACATGTAATCTCACATCAAAGTAGTGTGTGATACAAGATGGAGACTTTGTATATTTATAGGCTACAATATAGACCTTAAAGAGGTACTAAAGTAGGACTCCCCATAGGATTAAACAACATAGGTTCTAGTCCACCTATACCTAATACATATGAATAATGTTCATTCCACTTAAGGAATATTATTTAACTTCCTCTTTAGCTCCCAAATTTTATGTTTGGCCCCAAATTTGTCACACGTTTTGTCTCCTAATTTTTAAGACAACAACCATTTGGACACTAAAATGTTACATGTCACATAGGAGGCAACACAATCATTTAGTCCAGTACAAATGAAATCAGAACACAAGTAACTAATATTTGATCAAGCCCAAGCTCTTCATCCAGAGAAGCATCTCCGAAAGACCTTCTCTCAGACTTCTAGGGTTGTAATCCAGCTCCAACTTTGCCTTCTCGCAAGAGTACGCCCACTGATGTCTGAGAACGTCAACTGTCTGTTTCGCAAAGGACCAACACAAAAAAGAGTATTAATAAAGAATTAAATTAATAAATTTCAGCTCTCAGACCAGCCTCTATATGTCGAGTTCAGCTGATGTATGTGTTGTTGAGATTATCTAGTGGGAACCCATAGATAAATGCATAAGCTTAATACTTAAAACAACAACAAATGGACACACAATTTATACCCTGAATACAATTTTCTTAAGAAAAGATACGAACCTCAAGGAAGTGCTTATAACATTTCTGGTTTTTTTTTTTTAATTTCTTTTTAATTTATTATTTATTTTATTTTATTTTTTTGTGTGTAATTAGGATAAGCATAAGGGATAATTTTCCTAGTAAAGAATATCATAGATGCCTGATCATTGCTATAATTACAGCATGCCCTCCACAGTTCACACCAATTTCAAACTACAGGGTGACCTACGAATGTTTCACAATGTTGCATCGAATCATATAATCGAAAAGCCAAGACAATGATAGAACAATAATATGCATTTGATACACAGATCACCAGGCAAAAAAAGAAAAGAGAGAAAAAAGAAAAGAAAGTTCCACACCGGGGGACTGATTAGAGGAAGCTTCCCAGTTATTCTTGAGACAAGAACACACAACCATCCATACACTTCAATGAGGAAAAGTGGAATGCGAACACGAGGCTTTGCTGTTTGAGTGATAACTGCGGCTATATCAAAAACATCTTTGAAAGATGCATTTTCTCCTGTCAGAAGATATCTTTCACCCGGCCGGCCTTTGTTCATAGCTGCAAGGTGTCCTTGCACCACATCATCCACATGGCAGAAAGAAAAGCTGTTTTCTTGGCCCATGTAACCTGGGAGACGTCCATTAAAGCGTTCCACAAGCTGATAAGGAATATACAAGAATTCAAGTTGAGAAGTCGGTTACCTTCGATTTGTGAATGCATGGTAAGAATTTGAGGGGGGAAAAAAAAAGAAAGAAAGAAAAAGAACTTGATATTCAGTCTAATTACCAAAAGTGTTAATATCTTTTAGGACTACAAAGACCTTGAGTAGGGGATACTATGACAAGAAAACACATTATCAAAAAACAAAGTTTCTAATTAATGTAAATGTCAGCAGTAATATTTCTTATGTAACCCAAAATATCTGGTGTCCTTTTGCATTTTCACGCCTGAACAAGAATGTACTTAAGGAAACATGGTATAAAAGAAAATGAACAAGCAGAGGCACAAACCAAATCACAAAGAAAATCTGTGCACTATGATGAAGCTTGTTCAATCTGATGAGGAAAAAAATTTAACTACAATACTCCATGTTTATTGTAATCAAGCAGATTCCAATATTAATCAATGAATCTCTATGCTCGATTAAATATCTCCTCTTCAACAAGAAGAACAAACATTTCCAAAAAAAAAACTCTTTACCAAGAAAACAAACATTTTACCAAAAGGGCGACCATGTTTCCAGATGTGACTTTGCCCGGACCGTATATAACTCCAGGATATACCGGCACTATTGGCACTCCATCAGAGGCAGCTTCTAATGCTATCTTGTCCGCTACAACCTTTGATTTCTCATACTCAGTACAAAAATGTTTGGCAGAGTGTACCTATCAAAATTCACAACATGATAAACATATTTGAACAAAACCTCAGATTTCTTACCATCAGAAAATCATTTACACTGGTGTAATGAACTTCTCCATTACTTGTTTCTCATCCCCAACAAGCCCATCAGTCGATCCCAATGCAAAAAACGACGACGTGTAGATGATCTTCTCGACTGTCGGTGTCTCCTTATACGCCTTCAATACGTTCTTCAATCCGCCAATATTAACCTAATCAGCTCTCCAATTCAATCAGAACGAAAACTCAAAAAGGCACTCTCGTCCAGAACGAAACCTGAGCTCTAATTCAACTACATTAAATTGAGAATTTCACATTTGAGAAGAGTCTTACTGACGAGAATCTGCAAGGGTCAGGAATCCAGGGCTCGACAAGCGCGGCAGCGTGAAAGATGATGTGGCAGCCGGAGAATGCTTCCAGAAGCGATGGGTAGTCGGTGACGTCGCCGTAGGCGAGCTGGAGAGAAACGCCGCCGTCGTTAGGCCGAGGCAAGGCGGAGATGTCGCTGGTCTTGCGGACGAAGGCCTTGACGGTGTAGCCTTGGTCGAGAAGCGCGTGGCAAAGCCTGCCGCCTAAGAAACCGGAAGCGCCGGTCACCAGTACCACTTTCTTCATGCCCGCCTTTCTCCGATCAGGAAAGTCAACTGGCTAGGATGACTGAGCCAAGTATACAAATGATTGAATCTAGGCCTCGTTTACGTTGAGGACTTGATAATAAGACTAAATTATTAGAAAAATGATACATGACCAACTTATTGTACAACTAAGTTGATAACAAAAGTGAAACATCTTACATCTACTTGTGTATTTTTATATTTTTATTTTTGTTGATGTCTTTTACTTGTGTTGTCAACCTATTTGTAAATTAGGTTGGCAATCTAACATTTCTCAAATTATCAAGACTAAAAAGTTGGTTCACCGGTTTCTTTTAAGGGGAATGCTATGGATGTTTTAACCATTGGATCGTCTATCTTATACTAACTACATGTTCATCCAACGGTTAAAACTACCGACGGGATGGTACCGTAAAGGGACCGTAGTATTTCCATACTTTTAAACTAGTTTACGTTGACTGACTTAGTAAACAAATAAAGCAGTTTTTTACTTTTTTAATTTTGTTAATTATAGTTAATTTAAATAAATTTTGATTAGTTTTTAGTAGAATGTTAAAATAATATTTAAAATAATATTATTAAAGTTAACTAGAAATTGCAAAACCCCTGTTTCGGGTCGATTTCGGGTTGAAACTGCCGGTTCTGGGTTGCGGTTTGGAGGAACCGGAGCCGGTTTTTTTAAAAAAAGAATAAATTAAGTTGTGGTCGGGGGGCCTTGTGCTTAGCTAACATATTATATGTTAAAATATCAATTAAATTGAAGAATTTTTTGGGGTTACAGAATGATATTATAACTTGTAATATGTCAATTAAATTGCCAACCTATCTCTTACATCAGGAATCAAACTCCTCGTAGTTCTCTTACTATACTTACCTTGATAAAAGTAGATAGTACCATTGAACTGACTGTCTAGGAATCGTAGTCGTAGGTGTCGTAGTCCTCTTCATTTTGAGCGGTTCCACTAGTACTAGCAGTAAAACCGGATGCATCATTTTCATCATTTTCGACAGTTATCATGGTCATTTATGCCCTCATTTTGGCCTTCTTCCAGTCACTCAACATCGTTTGAGCCTCCAAGTTTTCTGGTGCCAACCTCGACCGTCGTGCGCCTGGCGTATATCTTCCCTCGCAGAATGTTTGTTCAATCGCCATTGTTGAGACCGGGACAACAAAAATCTCCTTGGCCATCAAGCATGGAATTGGATAAATGAGAGTCATCTTTGGCCACAAATCCAAGACGTCAAATTTTTGTGGCAAAACTGGATCACGAGCAATCGTAAATATCAAATCTGTGAGGTAGAGATCAAGCTCACTGTATCCAGTCCCTTTTGCCCTTTGGATCTTAGCATTTTTGTAGGGATTAAAGTCCTATCACCGGTTATCAAAGTTTAAGGTTGGTTACGTCGTATATCCCCATTGACCATAAGAAGAAGTCCATGAAGAAGTTGAAGAAAATGACGCCGGATTTTCCCGAGTCCGGTTGTTTTTTTCTTAAATAATTCGTACAATAAAAGTTTTGTTTGCTCGACGAGCTGCGTGGGTTAGGTCTTACACTAATAGCCGGGACATTAGTGGGACGTGGGAGCTGATACATAATATCATAATATGTGTGAAGTTGGTTGAGCAACCATTTTTCACGCAATAAAGGACTAACAACGATGCAACTACAAATGTATTGGGAATGAAAAATATTATTTTAACCATTTCGTAACATATCTCTTACAAGTTCGCCGTGTATGTCAGGATCACTAACAAAAATATCTCTAAAATTCCACATCACGACTACACATTGACTTACAATAAGTTGAGCAGTAGGATAGTAAACACCAGAAAAGTACATTAGTAGCTTCTTGAAATTTATCTAACTATTCCATAAGTGTATGGCAATTTATCAAATCACCGACAGTAACAGTGACGTCACAATCATCCTTTGGGTTGAGAACTACGAAAAAATTCCTCTAATTGTACAAAAGTTTCATATGTTTTCAGTAACATTCTATAAGTTGAGTTCCAACAGGTAAGAACATCCGCTTGGAATTTTTTAGGTGTAAAACCTAGTTCTCTATATTACTAACCCATTTTTTCATTTCTTGTGGACGACGATGTAAATAAGTAACAACATTTCTAATGGGCGTGACCGTCTCTTTCAAAGCATAATAACCCGTTTGAACACAAAGATTAAGGACATAACACATACACCAAATATGAAAAACTTTTCCCCAACAAATGGGACGAAAAATTTCCTTAAGTTCGGGTACAGATGCAGTATTGGCACTAGAATTATCAAACGAAATGGAAAAATGTTTTTTACCATTCTGTAAGTATTCAAGACACGTGAGATATTAGAAGCAGTGTGAGCATTAGGAAATCCCTCATGAGCAATTAAACATTTTTGTAATGTAAAACTATCATCTAACTAATGACAAGTAATTCTCATGTAAAAATTATCTTGCTAGTGATCGAACCGAATGTCACAACATATAGAAATTCTTTGGTTTAAAGCTTCAAAAGTTTGCGCCAAAATTATTTTTTTCTCACTAATAATTTTTTAAATATCACGAGTGAGAGTAGTATGTGGAACCTGAGACACAGCCGAGTTTAAATCCATTTGATAAAATTTTTCATATAAATCAGAGTCAGCAAAACTACAAGGAAGAGACGAGCCACAAACAAATTTAGCTAGTTTTTTATGGTTTTCATGGGAGCATTGGAATAAATTAGAAGACATACTTGTGGATGCAGTGTACTCTCACACGGGAAATGCGTTTGGGTCGTGGGAGTCCCCATTTCGACTTGATGATGTGTTCGTATGTGCTGTGTCAACGTTCCGTACCAATCGCCGGTTTTTGAAAGCGTACTTCTTCTTGGAGTTGGCCGGACAATGGTTACAAATTCATATGTAATGTTTTGTCACCTTTTTTTCTCATTGGACAACTTCGTGAAGTGTCGTGCGTATTGGAGCTCAGTTGAGAACTTCGAATTTATGCAAGTCACGGACTATCTACGAATTAAACCCTAAACACAGTGGAACTAGAACTTTTTCAATGTGTACCGTTTAAAATTTTGCCGAGTTTGAGACGTTTCTTATTTCCGTTTATGAAGATCGTCTAAACCTCTCGAGTCGTCATTCGTCCCATCGAGATTATCTCGTCGCATTTCTTGAAGTCCAAGTCGCGTCTCAGATTTATTAGGGCCTCACCAAATCGTTGTCGGTTGCACCACATCGTACGGAGGCTGCCAAACCATGGTTGGGTTGCTACTAGGTCATTGTCAGGTCACTGAGGTCACATGGTTGCTGACGAGTCACCTGGTGTGGCTAGGGTGCGCTGCTGCGCGGGGCTGCACGCTGGCCTTCGACACCGATCTATCTACAAATAACTTCCACTTTCCTTCAGTCTCGAGCTCTACTCTTGCGCCTTCTTGGATGAAATCAACTAGAACTTGGGCTTTGATCGCCCTCCGTGGTTCATACTCTACGTGTGCTCGCTCAGCTCTATGGCCCATTTCACCATCCGACCAGACACAAATGGTCGACCAAGTGTTTCTCCAAGAGGTAGATTTGTTCTCACCTTCACCTTATGTGTCATAAAATATGGCCCTTAACTTTCTACGTAAAGGCTACTGACAGAGCTCGTTTTTCGATCTTTGAGTACCTCAGCTCAGCTCCTTGTATCAACATGCTAACATAATAGATTGGCAATTGAGTTACGCTTTCCTCTCTTAGAAGTACTGAGCTCACCGCAACTACTCTGATTGAAATGTAAAGCACTAAGTCCTCGCCATGTACTGGTTTCACCAACAATGGCAAGTAAACTCCTTTTGAGCCTCCTTCGTCCATGGCAATTTAGAGCTCTTCTTCAAAGTTCTGAATAACGGACTGCTTCGCTCGGCCACCTTTCAAATAAATCTACTCAAAGTTGCAATTCGACCTGTTAAGATTTGCACCTCTTTGATACTCTTAGGTGGTATAATCTCCAGGACTGCTCAAACTTTCTCCTGATTCACTTTGATCCCCTTCTTTGTCACAAGGTATCCCACGAATTTGGCCGACTCAACACCAAATGAACATTTAGCTAGATTTAACTTCATGCCAAATTTTCTTAATGTACTGAAGTTCTCCCGCAAATCTTATGTGTGATCTACCTCTTTCTTGCTCTTAGACAGCATGCCGTCAATGTAGACCTCCATGTTTCGGCCCAAGTGTTACTTAAAGATCTTGTCGACCAAACGTTGATATGTTGCCCCCATATTTTTCAGGTCGAATGGCATGACTACTGTAATGCCCTACTTTTATTTGCCGAAAATCAAAATAAATTTTTCAATTTTTTCTTTCAAACACCTGAGGCGCTACTCATTTTCAAAACGAACTTCAATACTTAACCAATTTCTCAATACTCAATCAATCATCAAACTCAATCGTCAACAATATTACTATCTCCCAAAACGGGTTTTTCCAAAAATTCATAGAATCTAAGGAGCATCTCCTTAACATTATTTCAATAATAACCGAAAATCATAAATGCATAAATAGTCCAAGTTCATAATCATAAAACCAATTCATGACGCGGAAGCACAACAAATAATAAGACCAGTCTTATAGACCGACCACCACTCGCTCTACTCCGCCGTCGTACCTGCCTCGCTTAACCTGAAACGTGAATTTTAGGTGGGGATTAGCACAGGTGGAAAAAGTAGTGCTCACCACTATGCAGTAAACATTAATCAACATATAAAACAGTAATCATAAATAAGTCAGGCATGGTCGCAACATGTATACGAATCATTAAATCATCCCATCTCATATCCCATACTCAACCCTCATGTGCACACCTACGCATAGACTACTGCTGATACTCGATTCGAATGCCAAAACCTACGCCTTGGTCTTACAACGATGCCCAGGCCAAGACCTACGAATTGGTCTTACAAACGGGGATCACCAGCCGATGGCCCATGCCCCGGTCTTACGGCCATACATAAATAAAGGAGACTACCAATCGGGTACATTCTATAGCTACGGGGATAACCGTTCGACGACCGGTACAACTCACATCGAAGGCTACATGGTTCACACGCATACATTG